ARYAKTRTACCTTGGTAGGGATCTTGGACCCCAGTTTAGCCAGTAGATGGACATTAGTATTACTCAACACTGAAGATAGAACTTCAAGTGGATGTTCACCATCAATAAGCTCTTTGTAATTCAGCCCTAAAAATCGATGAAACATTACATCTCAGTACTACATTTTATTCKGCTGATTTTCAGTACCATCTTTAAAGGTAGCCATGCCTTTCCATAGAACGATACGAGGACAAGGTTGACAATGTTAATATATTTACCTGGGGCAGCAGATTTGATTTTCTTTAAGATTTTTATATGTGTTTGGGCATCAGGGACATTCTAAAATGGATAAAAATTTCATATTATTTTATTATTTAGTGAAAATTTTATATACAATTGAGCAACAAGGGGAACTTTGAAAACACCTGATTTTAAATGAATACCTGGATCTTGGGATCCTTTTCTTGGCATTCTTGCAGCAACATAAAATAATAAATCAARCGAGCATGCATTGTGCCGTCTATYGTGGGATATATRTTTTCAACCATTCTTGTGCATGTCTGTATAAAAAAACGTTTTAAATTTACAATGAGCTATGTATTAAGCTTTTCATACCCACACATCTAATGTACAATCATACCTGTTGRGCCTGTTCAATTAGACAAGTCATGACACCTAATCGATTTACACGTTCTTGTATTTCTTTTGTAGCAAGGCTARAGATGCCAACAACGAGAACACAACATATTTAATGAAATAATTAAGATAATATTATAAACTCTGAGGCTATAAATGCACGGAAAAAAGWCTTAAAACTGAGCATTAAACTAATAAAGATCGCATATATTTGATTTTTGGCAAGTCCCATGGGTTATTAAAATATGTAGAGGGAGAATTGTCCACACTTCGAAATTCCATAAGTCCCAACTGTAATGTTTATTGGCCTTATATGGCCTTAGTACACTTTTTGAAAGGACCAGCAAACAATAAAGAGAATAAAAAGATTTTKTTGGACATCAGTGCTTACCCACTGTCAGAAAACAACCATTCAAGATGGCCAATCATAAGATCCCATGTTGAAACGTCATATCTATCAGCCAATGAMAYTGCAGTACTAAAAATATCATCTTCCAGTGTCCTGTAGCGTGAAAGATAGGTTTTGTGAGTTTATTTTTCAGATTTATTTATTCTTATACACATGCTTTCTTTCTAGCCTGTGTACATCCGTTTCTCACCCCTCCAACAAAATCGGGGAGAGAACGTCCTCTCCCCGATTTTTTGAGGGGTGAGAAACGGATGTACACAGGCTATTTCTTTCTCACTGTAGTTAATTTTATTACCAATGTGAATTTAATGTGTGATGAACAAGGAGCTTGTATTTTGCACAGCATTTTCTATACTTACAGGGCTAGTCCTAAGATAGTGTCTTTCTTGTATTCAAAGTCACAGGTGAAACGGCTAATATCAACACCTAGTTATGAATAAATACAATTTTATCAATACATACATGTAATAAATCAAATGAGACAAATATTGCATCCCAAAAATTATTAAAAAGCAGCCAAACAAAACAAAGTGTACCACAAGGCTGAAAACCAGATAAATTAGTGACAGCTAGTAGCAGCATTTAATAAGGCAAGAAATAAACTTATATTTTCGTTATTTTGTATGTATGTCAAGGTATAGACTATTGTTTGACCAAAGGCACCTTCACATTTCCCTGCGCTACTGTATCTTGAAAGACAACTACGCCTTTGAATTAAAGCATAGTTGCTTTTGAGCCTGCAATGATAGATACCTTTTTTCACACAATATTCTTTTTGGTGTCTATGTTTTGGTATCTATCATCTCAAGCTCACGAATTCGCCTTGTCAAGCCATTATTACCTTTCAAGATATCCTAAGGTCAGACTATGGATAACACTATGTCAGCAAACCCAAATATTTTAAATGAATTAGCCTCACCTCTTCCTAGATTCTGTAAAACTTGTGCTTGTGCAAAGTCTGACATCTGGTTGTACCACTTAAGTAGATTTTCRCAGTCATTTTGAACATTGGCTGGCMAGTCTGATGGAGKGCCATGAATCACATACGATATCACATGATTGATGATTTCATCAGGAGAATTACAGTAGTATAGAGCTTGGTCAAGGGTTACATCAGATGTTATTCTGCTATAAATTTCCAAGGCAAAACAATATGTTGCCATATGGAGGTAGAAATAGTTGCTGCTGTAAGTTTGGAATAGTTCATTGGCTTCTGAAAGCTACACAACAAAAAGCAAATAGTCATTTTTTTAGTATTTGGACTAAAACCTGTTTCAAGTCAATGAGAGGTTAGAAAACATCATTTAAAAAAGGTTGACCCAGTTTCCAGAGATGAAGAAAAAACAGCAAGAGAAAATTTCTACTTTTTGACTGTAAAATAGCTTTAATGATAAACAAATTTATCATATTATAAATACATTCAACTAACCTTTGGCAGAGCAAGAAGGTATGCTAGGGCTTGTGTGGAGTCATGACTTAAGACAGACTTAGCGAGGGAAATCAAAACTAGAATAAGGAAATAGTTTAATATAATTATTTCTATTKATAAAATCAGTGACTACAACTTCACTTCCAACACCATTAAATCATCCAGTTATTTCCTTAAAAATAGCTATTTGACAAATAATAAAACATACCTTCACTGGCTGGCTCCTCAATGCTGCCCTCTGAACGACTCTCAAGTAATTTTTGGGTCCTTAAAAGACAATGGCTAATGTTGAAGGAACTATCTTCACACTTGCTGGACAAGTCCTTGATATAAGGAAAGCCACTCTAGTAGAAAACAAAAGTAAAAGTTAGAATAAAGATAACAAAAATTAGAAAAGAAAAGCCTAAAATATCACAAGTTAGTGTAATGCTCAAGCTATTAATTATGATAGTACTAACTATGATTGATTGGAAACAGCAATTAAAATGATAGTTTTTCATCATAATTGCAATCAACAGCTGGCTACTCACGGTCCTTTCATCTGTACTTTCAAACAGACTTTGATAAAAGAGATGGAACTGCTGTCCTGGAAATTGCTCTGTTGTATCGTCAACACCACAAGTAGTTCCATTTTGAGTTTTTGAAGCAATATTGAGAGGTCTGATCCATGTGACTGTATCCTTCCACCACTCACGGTGTGTCATCTGTGACAGAAGCGACCTTTTGGCTTCTTTATCTTCTTTTTGATCATCCTATCATAAGTTTGAAGACAATGCAATCATTGTAACATAAGATAGATAAGGAGTATTCCAGGAATTCCTGGAAAGTTGACATTTATCATGATACTAAAGGTATCTCAGCTTCACAAAGTRAAAAATGCTGATATTGTTACCTCTTCATCCTTCTCTTCTTCTGCTTTGTCCATGTGTTTCTCTRACTCCATGTACAAAATCTAAATAATACAAAATAATTATCTAGATGAGCACTSAATAAAACTACTTATTTAACAATAAAATGATCAGAATTGAGATTGAAAATGAGGTTTTATAATACCTAAAACCATGAATGCTTTCTCTGAAATTCTTAATTTATWTCTTGTTTTTTGTAGCATTTAAAATAAACAGTACTCTGCGAACAGAGCTACTTTTCTCCCCCGTCCAGAAGCATAAAAAAGTAGCTCTGTTCGCAGAGTAAATAAACATTAACATGAAAAGCCTTGGGAATTAATGTGCTGCAGCATTAGTGATGCCTTTGCAAGCACAAAAAAGCTTGAATAATGTACATGTATTAATACTAGAGGAAGTTACATTAAATACAACAGACAATTAATCTTTTAGACTTACCTGTGTCTCCACAAGACTTCTGCTATGAATAACTGATTCAATGACGTCAGGAGAACAATGAGTCAATGCAAATGCAAGAAGCGATTGCCTAGAAATTACAAATAATATCAAWAGACTTTAAAATGATCGTATCAAATTAAATTGTTCACCTCAAGAGTGAATCTTAAGAGTGAATGTAAGGCTCTGTTATCATTGATTCTAATTTTTTTTTACAATGAAAAGGTTTGCACTGCTTTTACATATTGCCTTACCGAGCTTTGAAGTCTCTGAAATCTTCACTTTCCCCAAGAGTTCTGTAAAAATCATGAATGAATATATTAACTATTACAATTTAATTACCTTTCTTTAAGTTTTCTAATCTCAAAAAAAATTGTAGATCACACTTGTGTCTCACAACTGAATGATTGACTGAATCATAATTGAATCACTCAATAACTTGGTCAGTAGATCATTCCGTCACTCAGTCATTGAGTGAATAGCTCATTCAGTCACTTGTTCAATCAGTCACTCAGTGAATAGCTCATTCAGTCACTTGTTCAATCAGTCACTCAGTGAATAGCTCATTCAGTCACTTGTTCAATCAGTCACTCAGTGAATAGCTCATTCAGTCACTTGTTCAATCAGTCACTCAGTGAATA